AAAACAAGGGAGATAAGTAAGAGGAAAAGGGAGAAGGTTATAGAAATGAAAGAAATAAAGGTCAGAATTACCTTGAGTTAAGTGTAAAATGATTTATTTTCATAATTAGAGAAAAATATGAAGTCAAACATATCATGTCATTGCTAATTTCCTGTCATTGTCTACCCTGTGTGAAACTGAAAAACAATAGTGTGTGTCTGTTATTGTCTGTGTGTATCGGAACCAAATGGCCACATAAGGCCACATGGTTTGGGTGAAGGCTGTAATTTGTAACATGGCTCAGCCAACAACAGCCTTGGCTGAATTCTTGATAATGTTATGTTTGATGTGTCCAACTCGTCCTTTCATGAAAGGGTGACACAGTGGTTCAAACCTGTGAAGCATTTCCACATGCTTTTTTGAAAGTCAGTAGGGATTGCCAAAGCAGATGCCTCAGTGACCCATCAGTGCTCTTGTGACCCTATTTTGGGTAATGGTACAGTTTTAGGCTCTCCCAACAAGTCCCTTGGCAATTTTTATTGAAAATATCATGTTGGGTATGTCTGACCCATTGTTTTTTGAAGGTTATATGAGAGTTAGAACATTAATATAGAAGCTAAAAACTATTCTCTATGTAAAGATATAGTGGGGTCATGGTGTCACACTCCCTCTGCCTGTGTTGCTATCATAGCCCTCTTTTTTTCCACTAAACCAGAGATGTCACTTCCTTTATAAAGAACTGTGACTGTAGCATGCCTATAGCACACACTACAGACAAAGTAGTCATGGTATAGCAGCCAGGGTTTGCCCATCTTGGAAGTGAATGTGAGAAAATATAGTGCCAGGAAATAGGACAACTGCAGTATGTAACGTTAAGCCTACCAGGATGTGTTAATATAGAGTACTTGTGTCACAAGCTGCTTTGAATTGCCCTTTACTGTCAACAGAGATTATTGTCATCTCTCCATTATTTAATTTCTCTTGTGGTTTTTGTGCTTTTGAAACCAGGCTTTTCAAATGAGTATCAGGTGCTTGTAGCCAATGTCAATAGTCCTGTTTCAAAAAATACCTGCACACGAAGGACATCAACACAACTTACACATATAGTAATTCCAGAGACATAGATAGACTTTCAAACTAACGGCAATGACCAGTGTGGAGAAGGGAGGTAAGAGACAAAAGGTGTTCTTCAGCTAGCAGAATGTGGTCACCAGACACCACCCAAACAACAATCCACCCGTACTGACTACTGAATTATTAAACATTTTACTGTAATGTAAGGGAAAGAGTGTTGTTTCAGTTAAATCTTGATAATTACATCATGCCCCAGGCTTCAAGTCACTGTTCACTTTTCCTATAATAAACCAGTACCATGATCTTTACTAACCATGTGCTGTTGTTGCCTAAATCTAACCACAGACAGGCCTCAGGATGCAAACCCTGGACTCTGGTGTCAAAGTTCTCCAATCTGTACCCCAACAACATCTCTGTGACTCCTGCAGTATATAAATGTAGTAGCCTACTTTATTTACTGCATAAACACAGGCACAGGTGGTTGAGAAGCCAGCCAGTTAGTAATCAATCAACATAATTTCTAGGACAGTGTTGATAGGTTCCAATGAAGTCTGACTTCAATCTTGCTGGTTTAATTTAAATTATATGCAGTGTGTCTTAAGTTGATTTCTTTTTTTTATCTTTTTGAAGGTTATAATGATCAGTTTCTGTTGAAACCGCTTTAGAGAGGTTTTCAGTTAATTGTTTGATCATTTTGGAGGCTGCAGTTTGTTGAACTGTAGCGCCTTATACTGACAGTCTATTATTTTGTCCAACCCATTTTTACCAATGAGGGTCGGCTAAATAACAGAAACCCCTGTTTGTAACTGCGTAGTATTAGGTGTTCCTGATAAACTGGCAACTGGGTTTATCAATTGGCACATTACTAAAACACATTTAACTATTTAAAGTCATTTGAGGTAAGTCAAAGTCAAGTGTCAAGTCTTGGGCAAGATACTGAACCCCACTTTGCCCCTGATGTGCCATCAGTGTGTGAACTGGATTAGTTTCTGATGAGCAGTTGGCACCTTTCATGGCAGCCCTTGCCAATTAGTGTGTGCACGGTGAATGTGCTTTTAGTGACCGGAGGGGCACTCTATAAGTTCATTTAGCACTTTTTAATGGTGCTGTATTTGTGCTACTCAGCCTCACTGACACATCTTGCACTACATCGGATTATTAATTGGGATGGATTTTCCTGTATCAGAATGATAAACCAGAGACACGGGTGAATATACTTGCATTGCTCTCTGTGTACAGAGCTGTAAAAGAACAGTGGAAACACACTGATATCTGTAAATAAACAAGTCCAGTAGCCTGCCTACAACATTCAGATTTAGCTGGAGATGTGAGAGGAGCTTATCTGCACCAGTGTGGAGCTGGACGGTGTTAAAGGCTGGAGAAGAATCTGACGCCTCAGTCGCTTTCTTGTTGATGGCTCTCATCCTTTTCCAAGTAAATCTCAGGACCTTCCAGCAGGCTCTGTCTGTATCTTACTGTTATATTTTTTTATTTTGTTTCATTTTATTTTTTGGGGTGACCTTACACACATAACACCCACTGTAAGTTCCTAAAAACTGTCATGGCTGTTATCCAGCAGCAAATCTAAGTGCCTTGTAACCAGTATCTTATTAGTGGGAATCATTTTTTGCTAAATGATCATCAGTGCTACGTTACCTTGATAATTAAAAGTCCTGTGCAGTTCCACTGTCTGATGGATTCACTTTACTTATCTACTTACATTTAAAAATCCAGCTCTGGTGTAAACTCAAAAATCTATGGAAGCCTATTTCCGCCAATGTGACGAACAAAAAGGTAACTTTGTCATTATAATGAGAAACTTTCTCAAAATATTGTCATAGCATTTTAAAAATAATGACTTGATACTAAGTAATTTTTTTGAAAAGGTTTCAAATGTTTTTTTATTGTTATATTGGCGGAAATGGGCTTCCATAAAAAGCACTATAGTAAGGAAAACACAAAAGGCCATGAGGCTTACCGTATAACTTCTAATAATAGCCTGGGCGTTTATTTGCTTATATCACTGAACTTTAAGATAAGATCATTTCTATAAAATCCAACTGAACTGAACTTTAAGAGGTTTTATACATTGAGATAATTTCTATAAAATCCAGACCAAACATTTATTTGTCAAAACGTGTAGCCACACCAGACTTTTAAATGAAACCCTGCTTTTATTGGAAGCTTCATGGTATTTCTGTTGTGGTCCTTAAATAAGAGGAAAGGACAGGAAATGTACAGCAGGAACATTAGAGTGAGAATAGTATGGGGCAGTACGTACAGCAGGGGTGTTCACTAGGGATGGGGATCGAAACCCGGTTCTATCAAGGACCCGGTTCCACTTTTTTCAAAACCTGAAAATCAATAACATTTGGGCTTATCGATACCACTATCGAGTCTCATCGTTTTTTTTTTCTCCTCCTGTAACGTAATTGTGTCCCTCGAGTCGCGTCGCGGCATTTAAATCTAATCAATCCAATCACTGCAGCGTCCACCAATGTTTTTGAATGAAATTGTAAAAAAGTGAAGTCTGGCAGTTAACTTCGCTCGCGAGGATGGCTGAACGGGCGAAAAGGTCTACAGTTTGGCTTCATTTTACCGAGCTCAAAGATAAAGAGGAAGCGAAATACAACTTATGTTGCAAAATCATTTCTTGTAAAGGGGGGGAACACAACCTCAATGGCCAATTACATCAGCATTGTGCATCAAATAAAGGCCAAATGCAGTACCTTCGACTGTCTCCGGGTTGAAAAGACTCTGTCTCCTCCTCCTCCTCCTGCTGCTGCCGCCGCACCACAGACGGGCCCCTCTTCATCATCCACTCAAAGTACCAGCGGTAAGCACATACACACATTAGCCATGTTTATTGAAGGCTAGAAACGTTTTTGTTATGCTCACTTGTTAAGCAATAAAAGCAATACCAGTTCTGTTAAAAACATATTGTCGCGTCGTCTTTCCACCAAATAATAGAAAAGTATCGATAGTGGTATCGATAAAGACTCGGATCGATAAGGAGTATCGATAAAAGGTTTGATATCAATAAATATTAACGATTCCCATTCCTAGTGTTCACCTATATTTTTCCAAGGAAATTCTTCTAAGCAAACACTGCCCCACAGCTTGATCAAAAAAATAATTATGAAATGTAAAATATACATATTTAGACCTAATTAGCCTATTATTATTTTATATTTATATATACTTTCAGGCCACTTTCATATGTGGTCCTAAATTGGATACATATCTGATGTTTTTCAAAGGGACCTCAGTCTGAACGGTCTTGTCGCATTTCATCCGATTTTTACGTCATTGAAGTGAGACAGACATCACAATTCTGCGACAGAATAGGCGGGACACGGCAATGTCAAAACAATGGACGAAAGAATGGCAGACACCGTTGACATGTAGCATCCATATTTACTTCTGTGAACACAGCGTGTTACATCATGTCTTCTTCTGCGCATGCGGGTCACTTCGGGGCAGTAGACTGTTCACACTGGAGACAAGAACAAGACAAGAACAAGACATATTTTGAATAATATGTCGATTGTGAAAGTTAGCACTGTCTAAACAGAATATTGAAAAAGTTTTTTCATCTCTGTAATTGAAAGTATTTGAATTTTTTTCGTTCATTTCCTGGTTTACATCAATTTGTCACAAGAGTTTACTGCAAAGTCATTGTTAGATATTGCTGACTGCTCTTGTGCATTTAAATTATTTTCTCACATTGTCATATTTTGTATTTTGACATAGGTTTTATTTCTGAATGAACTGTTTTTGTAAATGTGTTTATATGTCTATAAACATATTATGTATAATTCAAATGATGGTGGCACCAAAAAGGAAATTAACTATTCTTTTAATCAATGAATTTCTTCCCAACACTGGTCATACCTTAACCCTACTGTAATGTTGTCTATTGTTATGTGTTGATGTTCTCCTATCAGGTATCAGAGGTCTGGAGGAGTGCGTCTTGAAGTCGGCCACCCTGTCTACCTCCCCCGCCTGCCCGCCTTTCACCCCACTCAACTTTGAGGCCACGCCCATTGTACGGGTTGCCATAGAACCCAAACATCCAAGTAGGTCCTGGAAGGCAAACAGACACCTAGTTTGTTTATTGAAATACATTTGTACAATCACTACAGCAGATATTTGTATTGAATCATTAAATTCTATAGTGTACACCACAACAATTAAATGTATTTGAAGAGATGAATAACTCTCACAGTATGTCCATATGATACGCACTATGGTCTCCATGCTTATGTTTCATTTTACTTGATCACAATGAACACTAACTAAACACAAAACTAAGTACTTGGAGCAAGTGTACAATAACAGAACAATAAACACCACATAACCACACTCAACACATCAGTCTGGTCATTTAGAACATATTCTACGGAGCCCCTAAAGGGACATGGGGGAAAAAAAATAAAAATGAAACGAATGAAATGAATGATACTTTCTCCTGCTCACCAGATACAGGCAGCCTTAAGCCTGACACTCATTTTGAGAAAATAACTTAAAAGATCTGCCTTTTGACACATTACCTTATTAGTTTAATACTTATTGGCTAAAAATGTGTGTCAAAATAAGTAATTTTATTGGTTACATTTTGCTGTCATGACCTATCAACACATGGCTAATTTTAATATCCAAATGAGCCATGTGCTGATTCCCACAATGCCCCAGTTGCTACCACCAGGCTGTCAATCAAACTTTCAGTGACAGAGAACATAAAGTTAGCTAACGTTGGTTGTTGGTTGTACAAATATGGACAATTGGTGCAGTAAAAATGCTTGATATTAAGTATGTTTTTTATTCATCATGGTCGCATGAAACACTTTAATGGAACGTATTTTATTTTAAATGTAGGTTAGAATTATAGCTTACTATTCTTAATACTTTTATTTTGAAAACCGGAAGTGAATACGCTGTTTCTCCGCAATTACCATAATGCTGAGAATATATTATATTTAATAATTATTATATTCTATAATTTGGAGAAATTCAACAATACAAGTCCATATTTGTACAACCAACAACCAACGTTAGCTAACATTACGTTCTCTGTCTGAGAGCTTGATTGACAGCCTGGTGGTAGCAACTGCCATGAGGCTTGTTGTGGTAATTAACACATGGCTCATTTGAATATTAAAATTAGCCATGTGTTGATAGGTCACAACATGAAAATGTAACCAATGAAATTACTTATTTTGACACACATTTTTAGCCAATAAGTATTAAACTAACGAGGTAATGTGTCAAAAGGCGACCTTTTTTGGTATTTTCTCAAAAGGAGGACAAATGAGTGTCCGGCTTAAGGCTGCGCCTGTAACTCCTGAGCACGAGATACGTATCTCGTGAGCACGAGAAACATTTCATTTTTATTTTTTTTCCCCATGTCCCTTTAGGGGCTCCGTAATATTCTGCCTGTTTATGTGTGATGTGAGATTATTGGAGCTCATCAATCCTGTGCACAGGACAGGACAGGACAGGACAGGACAGGAGAGAGACAGACAGACAGACAGAGAGAGAGAGAGAGAGAGAGAGAGGGAGGGGTGCCACGCAGCAAAGTGCCACAGGTTGGATTCAAACCCTGGGCCGCTGCAGCAAGGGCTCAGCGTTGGTATATGGGGCGCCAGCTCTACCAGGTGAGCTATCTGGGCACCCCAGATACCAATTTTAGAGGGGAATATCTTTACCAATTTCACCAATTACCCACAGTATATGGCAGCCAATATTGGGGTACTTTTAAACTGGAATGAAAATAATGGATTGTGCACCAGTTTTGCTCCCATGTGACTCTGCAGTGGTACTCAGAAGGCTGATTTGTAAAACAAATATCTTCATTAAAGAATATTTAAAGCAACATTATGTAAGACTTGGTATTTGTGCACCTGTTTCAGAGTGCAACACCACTGTGGGTATTGTGAGTCTACATTTATGCAATCACATAGGCCTAAACACAATTCCATTTGTTGAGCTATTGATGTCATGCTTCTTTGTGACTGGCTCAGCTGTGTCAGAGCGATGAGACCAGGAGAGTGTGTTTATTAATCACCACACCTTCTGATCTATATTCTACCTCACTCAGCTCTTTTGCACTCTTTGCTGTTGCATGTACCAACATGAACCAAAACAGCAGGTGAAGACGCCCCCACACAGTCGGTATGCCAAGACCTGCCAGCCTGTGATGGTCTTTGTTCTTGCGCAATTATTATTGGACCTTTGTTAGTTTTAATTTGCTGTCACTTTACTTTGAAGCCAAAAAAAGAATTAAAACATATTCATGAACACGTATATAATTAGCATCAGTCCATTTTAAGGGTTTCCTACAAAAAGCCACCATCCACTGTGCTAGAGTTGCACCGATAGCATTTTCCCTCCCACTGTAGATGCTATGGCCAATAATTTGCCAATGCAGACAAATCAATAAATCGTTTTCCACCTTATTTGTTTGTGTGTCAGGTGAGATGCCAAAGCTGGTGCGTGGGATGCGTCTGCTGAACCAGGCAGATCCCTGTGCTGAGGTTCTGATCCAGGAAACAGGAGAACATGTTCTGGTCACTGCTGGTGAAGTTCATCTCCAACGCTGCCTGGACGACCTTAGAGACCGGTCATGTGTGTGTGTGTGTGTGTGTGTGTGTGTGTGTGTATTATCCATCTATCTACATCTGATAGCTAATTTTAGAAAAACACTACCTAATTAGGGAGCTAAAGATTGATGAAAATGATCTAGCTAGTTAGCCAGCACTTTGTTAACATTAGCTAACTTAAGTGGTGACTATATGTATGTCACTTTTATCTTTTAAACTTCTTCAAAAAGACACTACAGCCTAGCACATAGCATGGTGTCTGTGTGTCATCTCCAAATATAGTCATCTGTTCCTGTCTAGTCCACTTTAACAGAAAGTTTCATTTTGTGCATCAGTATTAATAACAGTGCCTTATGTGGTGTCTGCTTTCCTTGTATACCATTTCATACTTCTCCATGTGTGACCTTTACTGTATAATTTAGATTGTCTCTGTGTTTGTCTCTTTTCTGGGCTTCCGTGTAGTGAGTGTGTTCATACACTGAGTGCCCAGATCTGAGAGAGGGAGGAAGGGAAGCAGATCTGTTTCCAATTTCAGCACCATCATTATCTGGCTATCATTACATATTGACTGCTGCCTCTCTGTGTGAACGTTGCTGCCTTCCTCAGAAGAACAGCACGGTCTCACTGACAGGCACAAAGATTGTTAGAGAATTTTCTCAAAGGAAAATTTGGTTTTGTCCTTGCGTGACTGCTGTGTTCTCATATGACCACACAGATTCAGACCATGTAGAGATACAGTTTTCTTGCCATTTCCAAAAGAACTCTGGACCTTCACTTGAGACACCAGCCCTCCCTATAACTTTAAGATATTACATTGCATTGTAAACACAAATAAACGTGGTATAGAGAAACACATTTGTGTTGGAACTAGTTACAAAACAACTATGAATTTGTACATACCCATGTCTAATGGATAGCCTGGCTAGAGCTTGGTTTGCTGACTTGTTGTACTGAAATTCAATTCAATTCAATTTTATTTGAATTGAATGCGGTCAACTTGGGTGTGATGTCATTCCAAGCCCTGACTTCCGAATTCTGAGGTAAATAGAACGCACAATAAGTCCCGCCCCTTTTGGAACCTCTGCCAACTTCCTCCTTTCCTTTTTCATCCCTCCATCTACTGCAGCTTTAAACTACTGCTTCCTGGAGAAATCACCCCAACCACACTCTCTACACTGATTACACCAAAGTTACAGCTTTCCTAATTTTACTAATACGATCAGCCGCAGCCAAGGCTCACTGATGCACGTGGGGAGTGAAGGCTGGCCCGTGTGGTCCGATCCAACAGACGAGCTACTGGAGCTCAAACTGCAGAAACAGTTAATGCTGGTTCTGATAGAAAGGGGTCAGAACACACAGTGCAGAGCAGTTTGTTGGTATGGGGCTGCAGAACATTCTGACCACCAGGGGGCCCAGGTGCTCACAATGTTAGGGCTGATCAATGTACATATATAGGTGGGAAGTATTGATTAAAGGAGAATGCATCCGTCATTTATGTAATCCACTGACGTACTGTGGCCCATTTATTTTTCTAGCGTGACTCTCTTTAATGACTCTTAAGTTTGAGGTAAACACTTTTTATAAAGTGTGACAAGAATCCTTATTCTACCACAGATTGCCTGTACAATGTCCCGTACAGTCTTTGATAGCATGTTGTTAGCTTTAACTGTATATTGGCATGTGAAAAGCATGCATCGGTTTATTGATGTCATCTATTTATCTGTGAAGACAGTTGCTTTGGAAAGCTGTGCTGTGTGTCTTCATTCATCTCAGCTGTTGCCATCTCAGCGGGGGAATAGAATTTAATCAGTCAATACACAGGAAAGTCAGAGCAGCCTTTCCCCTGCCACTGCTGCTGAAATGATAATCACACATTATATCAGATAGTTAGCAGTGTGGGTTTTTGTATGTTTCTAGTCGTGTGTGCGTTTGTATAAACTAACTGAAACCTGTTGCATGAGTTAGAAATATAAATTATGATAGGGAAGCTAATTGGGAGATTTGATAGCTTTTTGGTTTTACCTTTATGACAGACAGACAGCAGAGCTACTGTGAAACCTTTTTATGTTCAAAACCTTTAGCAATCTGATCCAATAAACTTAAATCTGATTGGTGCATTTTTCATTGGTATGTCTGATTTTCAATTGAGGATAAACATAATAAATCTACTTGGAGTGCTTAAAAATGGCTCATTATACCTTCCAGATCGTGCCATATTATCATTAATTTTTATCATTGTTATTTCTTGTGGAAAAAAACAAAAGTTAAGTGATGTCAGAGGAAGAGCAGAGATAAGACATACATGGATACCTTCTTCACTGATGTGAAAAATAAGAGCTAAAACATGAATATAAAAAGGTCAAACCAAGCATTACCTCTGTTGTGTGGCAGGCAGAGGGGAGAAGGCTACTAATCTTACATTAGATAAGGCACAGTAAGACAGAGTTTTGTTTTGAAAAGTTTATATATACAAAATTCACTTACTAATGGATGTCACACTAGAGCACAAGCATCTTAAACCAAACGCTGGCACAGAAATTAAATAAAACTCACCAAAACTGTATTTGTTAGTCTTCCCACAGACTCAAACAATCACTAACACTGGTTTGGTCAAAATAAACTCTTAATTCACTGAGTTAGATGAGAAAATATTTGTGAAAAGGGCTGCAATGACCACAACGTAAGCTGACGTTATCTTAAATGCACCCGTCAAAGTACGTCCACTAAGTGGTTGTTTTTTGCCACAGATTGATATTCTAACAGCTTACCATATGTATGGCATGTGCGTGGCCAGACATCTTGATTTTTATTTCAGCGTCCATGTTAACAGATTAGAACGGTCTCATGCCTGTCTCAGCTGCGTCTGCAGCGACGCTTCACTAGAGAGTCGAGGTCTTGCCTATTTATACCACAAGCCACACGCGTCTCCCAGCAAAAGAGCACAGTAAAAGGATTGGTTGGTAGTCATATCCACATATTTCACTACAGTTTAAACTTCCTTTTCAAAGTAAAAGCACTGTAGTAATCTTTTATTTAATACGACTTCACTTGTGAAAGAATTTCCAAAAGTGAACCAGTTGAAGGTTCAACTGCGCTCGCTCTCTCTCTCTCGCTCGCTCGCTCGCTCTCTCAGGTAAACAAACCACAGATGCTTTCTGATTACCACAATTTAAACTACTGTGTTTAAACTACAAATGTAAATGGCATTGTTAATTAAATTATATGAACATTTCGATTTTTTAATCACCAACTCTGGTTTGGTTGAAGTAAATGCTTAATTTACTGATGTAGATGATAAAAACCTCAGCTGCACATGGAGCAGACTGGCTATGGAAACAAACCACAGAGAGGCTGTGATAGCAACACAGGTAGATCAATGTTTTAAATATCATGTGTATAACCTTTAGCGTTAGCTTGTTAATAGCAGTCAGCTGTACCGATCAGGTCTGTGTCAGGTTATGCTCTGGCGTTTCTCTGTCCAGGTCCCAGCTTTCAAATAATACACGTGTCTGATTTGACCTCTATTACATACCTGGTCCCTTCATAATGAATTGTGATGACTTTAGGAATTTTCATCTAGTGCCTTCAACTGTGACAAAATAACCACAGGACCAATGGCATTGTCATTAGACTGGGCTATTCGTTGTGGTTAGTGCTAATTGGCAAATTTTAGCATGCAGACATGCTAAACTAAGATTGTGACCATGGTAAACATTTCCTGCTAAATTTCAGCATGTTAGCACTGTCATTGTGAGCATGTTAGCATGCTGATGTTAGCATACGACTTAAAGACCCGCTATGCCTAAGTACAGCCTCACAGAGCTGCTAGCATGACTGTAGACAAGACCTGAAGTCTTGTTTAACAAATCACTCTTCCACTTGTAAATGCAATAAAGAGACAGTGGAGATTGATTCAACCAACAGGTGGACTGGAAATGAGCAGAAACACAGACAGAAACATTAACTGAAAGCAAATGATTCAATGGAGCAGGTTTCTTCTCAAGGATCTGTGTTTGGCTCCACTTATTGGCCTTTTTCCCAGATCCTGCCTCTCTGTGCTTCATCAGATGGACGTCATTACCACAGTGATGAGTGGTGCCTTGTTTTCACCAGACCTAGTGCCTGGCATTCAGGCTAGAGAGCTGAATTTTTGTCTCATCACCTCAGAGAGTCCTTTTCCTCCTGCTCTCAGACTGCTTTCAGAGCTGTTTGGCAAAGTCAAGTCAAGGTGGCCTCTAATATGACTTTTACACAGGAGTGACTCCCATCTAGCCACTCTACCATACAGGCTGGATTTCTGAGAGCCACAGAGATAGAGGTCCTCCTTACAGGTTCTGTTATCCCTGCACCTAATGCTACATGGTCCAAACTTTTGTCCAGAATTATTTATTTTTAATTAATTATTTTTTTGCGTGAATCAAAGTACTGGGCTCAGAGAGCATTCAGTTGTACAATTCTATGCGCCTAAGTCATGCTGCCACACTTTTGGTCTTTTTGTCAGTTCCTCCAGATTTCATAGGTTTTTCTTGCAGAGAGATTGCTGCTGTCTAGAATGCCTGATTTCATGGCAGCTTTTTTAAAGAATTGTGATGCATGTTGTGATGTTTTTAAGCTTTTTAAATGTTTTTTTTGCAATGAAATTGCAGGAGAACATGAAAATTGCTAAAACATTTTTATATAATTGTAGGCACCTTTTCCCGGTGAACCAGGTAAATGTTGCTCATGTCTGCATCTTCACATCAAGAAACAAGGAAGTGAGTTTGGTGACATACGGCAAAACTACAATGATTGGTCAAATTTGTGGAAAACTTTGCCATGATTGGACAAAATTACAGGGTCTTGCAAAAATCATGGGGGTTGGTAGGATTTGCGTTTATTGTGTGTGCAGTGTGTGTAGAGCTGCAGCTGTGCAACAAGTGGCAGCCCAAATATTTTTCATTTGAATTCATGTTCTTGTACATTTTGAAAGTCTGGTGGGGGTGACTTTTGACATGTAAATCAATTTTTTCTTAGGTCTTTC